AAAATAGGGCCCGAATTTTTCGGCGAATAAGCGTCGCGAATGGAATTTAATCCCCCTACTTATAAAATAGGGCCCGAATTTTTCGGCGAATAAGCGTCGCGAATGGAATTTAATCCCCCTACTTATAAAATAGGGCCCGAATTTTTCGGCGAATAAGCGTCGCGAATGAAATCTAATCCCCCTACTTATAAAATAGGGCCCGAATTTTTCGGCGAATAAGCGTCGCGAATGGAATTTAATCCCCCTACTTATAAAATAGGGCCCGAATTTTTCGGCGAATAAGCGTCGCGAATGGAATTTAATCCCCCTACTTATAAAATAGGGCCCGAATTTTTCGGCGAATAAGCGTCGCGAATGAAATCTAATCCCCCTACTTATAAAATAGGGCCCGAATTTTTCGGCGAATAAGCGTCGCGAATGGAATTTAATCCCCCTACTTATAAAATAGGGCCCGAATTTTTCGGCGAATAAGCGTCGCGAATGGAATTTAATCCCCCTACTTATAAAATAGGGCCCGAATTTTTCGGCGAATAAGCGTCGCGAATGAAATCTAATCCCCCTACTTATAAAATAGGGCCCGAATTTTTCGGCGAATAAGCGTCGCGAATGAAATTTAATCCCCCTACTTATAAAATAGGGGCTCAGCGGAATTTTAAGCTTTCGTGTAAAAAGCGGAATATTGGGCTCTAAAATTTTGGGCTCCGGTGGAAATTTGGGCTCTAATAAAAATAATGAACTTCAAGATACATAAAATTTCAAAATAATACTTAATTGGAAGTACAGATTCTAAGGAAAGATAGATTTAACAGGATTGGGCAACAAAGTAAACAATTTTTTATATTTTCACTGTTAGGTGAAAATTTCATCCATGAAGTTCCTACGAAGAATTATCAAAATTTTCGCATGGATCTCAAAAAAGGAAAATTTTTGGATTAAGGAACTTCGAAATGTCCCGAAAATTCTTGAAGCCCAGCTTTCCAATGCCCAAATTCCTGACACCTTTGGTCTGCTTCTTTTTTCTGACCAGCAGACTAAAATATTGAGAATTTTGGAAAGCCAAAAAGTCAAAGAATTGTTGGAGTAAAATTGTTCTCTCTTTATCTCCAGACTTAAAATAAAGAATTTATCAACATAAAACAGCTAATTTGTGATGTAGTAAATTATTTGTAAATAAAAAGGATAAGTCTCTTTTTCACAGTTTTGAAATAGGTAAGCATTGTTAAAGTATTAATTTTCGTAATAGTTAAAAATAAAATGTTTCCAACTTGTTTCCAAAAATTTCTGCAAATTTTATCATCATTAAATATAAAACGATGATCACAGTTAAAAATTTGTAAATAAAAAATTGTTTTTTAAACTACTTAATATATAAAATAATATTTATTATATTTAGAAAGGAAATCCAAACCCTTCAGATTATGGACGAGCAAAGTAGTAAAGGAAAGAATTGTTGCCACACATTTAGTAAATTTTGAGTAAAAATCTTTTTCAGATGAGGAATAAATTATTACAATTTTTTTATTGCCCATCTTTTTAATTTAAAAACTGAAATAGGTATTTAATTGTCTTTGATTTAATTGTCAATTAAATATTTAATTGTCTTTGTTCAATGAATAAGTACGAGAATGAAATATGTAGAAAGAGAAGAAAACGATACATGTTTTCCCCTATTTTAAGCTGCACCATGTGTAAGAATATTTTATTATGATGGAAAACTTTGCGACTTACTATTCACCATAATATTTAGTATGTTAAATCGAATAGGATGAAAACGAAATTAATTACATTTTACGAAGGAATTACATTTTACAAAAGAAAAAATAGGGAAATACTATATACATACATACAAGCATAAAATTAATTACTTTTAAAGAGGAAACAATTTCATTTCTTCTTTCCTTTAACCTTTCTTTCATAAAACATTATGTATCCCGATGTTGACTACAAATGAAGCAGTTATAGAAATTAAATAATAACTTTAAACAAAGAATACCTTCACATCCTCAACTGATATTTGATGGACGTTTTTATCGTCAAATATATACCAAATATCACTCTTCAGGTTCTTCACCTTTGAGACAAAGTGGCCAGTACGATAAGTAGGGCCTAGGTGGACTACAATGGCATAGAGTGAGTAAATTGTTCCATCTGATATATCAGGCGAATCTTTGTGCAAAAACGGTCTTGTATCAAGTGAATCCACAGGAAAATCGACAGGAACACTATAATACATATGTATAGAGTGGGAATTTTCTATTTCTATTAGAGCCTCGCCGGAAGTTCCGGTTCCCGTAGGCCGAAAGTTCCAGGATTTTTTGGTTCCGGCTTCGGTTCCGCCAACTTTGCGTTTCCGGCGAAGCACTAATTTCTATTCATTTTCCATACTTTTTTATATTTTCATCCTTTAATAAACGCAGTATTATTGTATTGGAAAGTTTCCAAATTTTGTTGACTGTTTCGACTGGAGTATTACAGTTTACGCAAGCTTTGTTGCCTCCATTAAAATAACGTTCGAAACCAGCTAGGATATTATCATCGTTCATGTGGATCGGCAAACAAAGTGCTAACTATAAACGGATTGATAAGTGTATGAAAAATATGTTTGAATATGAAATTTTTGATGTTTCAAAATTTTTAATTATAATTTTTTATTCATTCGTTAATAAAATAAATTTAAAGATCTATCAATTTCCAACAAACGAGATCTTTATTCAAAAATAATTTTTGGCAATCAAATTTCGTTAAGTTTTTAAATTTTAATGTCCTATACAAATTTTATATTTTAAAGTAATATTTTGCATATTTTTTATAAATTTAAATTGAAGTTTAAAATCGTGTAGTTTAAATTGAAGTTTAAAATCGTTTAGTTAGTCTGGAGAATCAATATGAGTAATAATTGAAACGACAAGAAGATATGCTGAATGAAGAAAATTCTGAAAGCAGGTGTTGAGATGGAAAATTGGGGAGGGGAGGAGGGGGGGGGTTGAGGATGTGATGAATTTTTATTAGGACGTGTTGGGAGATAATGGTGTAAAGAATCCAATCTAAAAGCTAAAAAATAATTAAGTTATATTTTAACAAACACAAAACAAATAATGGCTCTATTACACAATATACGTCCAATCAACTATTATGCGTCCAATCAACTTTTATACGTCCAATTAAAGTTTATACGTCCAATGAAAAGATTATGCGTCCAATAAAAATTTATGCGTCCAATGAAAAGTTTATGCGTCCAATCAAATTTTATATGTCCAAACACATTTTTATTGGTGACCGGCCAGATCCGGCCGGATTTTTCCAGAGTCCGGATACCAAATCCGGGTTTTTTTGCAATCTCCGGATATTTTCGCGATCCCCGGATATTCGCGATCTCCGGATTTTTTCGCGATCTCCGGATATATCCAGAAAAATCCGGCTGAATCCGGTCCGGCTCCATTGCCAAATCCGGATCTGAATCCTTTTTAAACCGGATTTGAGATTTATCCGGTGACGGGGACGGTTGTTCTTGTGACGGGAACAGTTTTCTATTAACACCTTTTGAGCAAGCGTTATAATAAATAAAAATTATTTTGATTTTTTCTGAATTTATTTTTTTCACTGGGCGTATAAAAATTTATTTGGACGCATAAACTTTGATTGGACGTATAAAAATTTTATTGGACGCATGAATTTTGATTGGACGTATAATCTTTGATTGGACGTATAAAAGTTGATTGGACGCACAATAGTTGATTGGACGTATATTGTGTAATAGAGCCCAAATAATTCACAAATACAAACCTAAAATTGATCCTAGAATATTAAATTAGCTTACATAATTCGCAAATCCCTTTAGTCTTGTCAGGGCAATCCACTCCCGCACCAAAATAGCGTTTGGAAACTTAAGTAACAGACAACTAAACTAACAGATTCTCAAAAGTCAATGGGCCTTAATCCAGAATAAAATCAACACAAATACTTATCGTTTTCCCAAACCAAAACTCACCATTTTACTACACTACTAAAACAAACCTCTCCAAATGATCTTAGGAACAAAGATCATAACTGATGTCAGCTTAACTGCTTTAGTTTAAGCCGATTCAGTTGTCATCATTCATTCCGAAGGTCATATTATACATATTCCTAATAAAAAAATTTTTCTACATATATTATTCTTTTTTTTTCTTTTACAATTCCTTTGAATTCTTTTAATATAAAGTTTCTAGTAAAATTAACTCCTAACTCTATTATTAAAAAATAATTAGAAGTGAAAGAAAAGATAATCCCAATCCAAAGAGTGAAAGAGAGAGAGAGAGAATAGATGAAATGAAAGTTGGTAAAATAAAGTTGACAAAATGAAAATGTTATTATGTTAAAAGTTAATGTGCAAATTTGTTTTTTTTGTTTTGTTTTTTATTTAAATTTTATTACTTTACCTTTTGCTCAAAATGTGTGGTATTTTGTCCACACATCGTGCACTTTGATATTGTGCACAGAACATTATTGAAAATGTCTGACACGACAGACGATGAAATATTTCTTTGCCTTGTTAAGTAGTCTAGGCCATTTTTAATTAAATTGGCATTCGGATAGATTATCAAATTTGTGGTTAATTCTTCGTAGCCCTTAAAAATTGGTGTAATTTTAAAAATTGTTAAAAGTTCATACTCGATTTGTCTCTGCGGAGAGCTTAATCAGAAGACAAATCAGAAACTCATGGCTATCCTGTTCAGAATCACCATCATATTTTGCGTGAACAAACATTTGAACGATGTCCTAAAAATAAAACAATGCAATAATTTAACATTTCTCTTTAATGTTTAATATTAATATATTTAAAATTTTAAAATTAATCTGGCACTTTCGATTCTAATTTTTCCAATCAAATTTACTTTCCTCATTTGAATAGAATGTGACTAATTCAAATGAAAATATATGCCAAAAATTGTCTCAAATATGGACAATTAAAATATTTTAATTTTCGTAAAATTAGGGAATTTGAATAATTTTTTAATTAATTAATTAATTTCCTCTACCAAGAATGTGTTTGTATTTAGATAAGAGTATTCTGAACTCCAGTAGGCATTAATATAAGCCGATAGACAAGCAGACAATGCTCCTTTTGATTTTCCCATATTTGTAAGATTAACATGCTTGCGAATGGATCTTCCTTCGAATAAATGGACGAATTTGTTTGTGTTGAATAAACACTGCATTACTGCATTGATGAAACATGAATTAATCTTGTTGCTCAGGCCAGTTAGGCCTGGTTTTGGAGTAGGGCGATGGCGGACCTAATATAATAATAATTACATGTTTGAACGTATTTTTCTCAACTTTTAATTGTTGATTAGTTAATCTGCCAATTTCATTAATAGTAAATTCAAATACTCCGTCAAAGTGTGATTGATTTGAAGATGAAGAAAAATCATATTTTCCCAGATATGTTGAAGACATACTTTTTGGATGGTTGGACGACAAGAAGAAAAATAATAATTGGATGTTGTGTTTAAAGTTTTAAAAACTTTACAACAATTAAAGTTTAAATACTTTAAATTATCCATTATCATCTCGAGAAATGTGTGATTGATCGAGAAATCAGATCAAACATTGTCTCTCTCTATCTCGAATTGAATCTCTATTTATTTCTGTTATATATGTGCTCAATGTTATAGAATTTTAATCTATAAAAATTTTCTTATTAAAATAATATTTAAAAATAAAATTATTATTTCGATAATTAAATCATAATATTCAAAGAAACTAAGTTCATTTTTAAATTAATTTTTACTTTTAATTTTTTATTTTATTTATTTAATTTTAAATTTACTTTTAACAATTATGCGAAAGATTTTAAGAATTTTAAGAGTTTTTTATTTACATAAATGATTTTATTTTGATTTTGCCTTTTAAAATTAATTTATCCTAATACTACATATACTTATACAAAAAATATAAAATAAATATTTAATTTCTATTCACAAAATATCCAATACTAAACAATTAAAAGTAAAATCAAAATTAATGACGATTTCTTAATGATTGTTTTTTTTATCATTTTTCTAACTTGTCATCAATTCCACCACCAATTTAGCCGACTTTTAAACGGAAAAGTTAAAATAGAAACATCAGACAATAATAGGTTCTATTTCTGGATCAGATAGGTTGTCTAAAATTTTTATTATATTTAATTCCTATTTGATAAATTATATCTAAAATTCTTTGATAAACATTCTTTACAGTCACTAATATTTTACTATAATCAAAAAAATCTCATTAATTTTTTTATTCGAGATATTCCAAAATTATCGCCTCGAGATCTCGATGGCAAAATTTTGAAAGGTTTCGAGATATAAATATAACCATGAAAATATTTTTCAGTCTTTACAATCCAAATAAAAAGCTTTCATCTATTTCAAATCGTTAGGCTTCAAAATTTTATATAACAATTGTGGGGGAGTTTTTTTGGTGGAGGGGGGGGGGGGTTTATAATATATTTCCATGAGCTAGGAGATCTCAACAAAAGTTTCCACATTATCATTTCTATCTTTAAATCTCTGGATTTTTTTAGGAATTTTTCTTTACTATTTTTTTCCCTTTCTAAATAAATTTTTTATTTTTCTTCCTCAAAATCAAAAATATAAAACCCCTAGAAATATTCAAAATCCTCCTATTAAACCCTTTCAAGGTCAAAATAAAAAAAGAAAAATCAATGGATGACGCTTTTTAATTTACATTTTTGAGTTAATCTCTTTTTCCTTCGGCATCACACAAAAAGGATTTTTATATTTTAATTTTATTTGTCCAAAAACAAGGATTTTTGTTAGAATTTAGTGGAATTAAAAAGAAATTTTAATTTTTATAAATAATTTATTAAAAATGTTTTTCAAAAATTTAAATTATTAAAAATATCCCTGCGCAAAGATTTAGCGGTTACAAAAATGAGGGAAAATCTATTTAAAAAGCAAATCAGAACCAACCAAACAAATAATAACATATGCACAATATGGCGAAATAAAAAAGAATGGAATTTTTAGCCAATCAAGCGAATAAACACTACCAAAAGGGCAATAAATAGAAGTAAAATATTCTTATTTTTAGTATTTTTAGCTAAATAATTTTTAAATTCATTTTTAAATTAAAGCTTTAGCTAATTTGTGATCTCGTTTTTTAAAATAAAATTCATTTTTTATATGTGTAATATCGGAAAACAGTGATAATATCCATTTAAATGAGATTTTTTTGTCGATTTTTCTATTTAAAAAAATTCAAACAGAAATGTTGCTTCTCTTCCACTTACGCGCTTCTTAATTTCATCCCGTTTCTTCCATTATTCTTTTTTTTTTAAATTGGCTATAGGTTCCTAGTTTGGTTCCTAGTTTGTTCCTAGTATAGTAGGTTCCTAGTTTGTAAAATTAGCTGAATATTTTCTCGACTGACACTTCCCCACACTTACCAAATATAATTTAAAAATCAAATATACAAAAATAATTTTTTGAATCATTTGAATCCAAAGCTTCTTTTTATTGACTTTTTTATTTTAATTTCCCATTCAACGAGAAATAAAAAAGCAATTCGCGGCCTCGTAAACGGTCACTTGCAATGTCCTTTTCCTTATTTTTACGCCCATCATCATCTGCGCATTTTTCGGTTATCGGCCATCATAAAAAAGAAAAAAAGGTTTGAAAGATAAAAAAAGAGAGAATGGCATTATTGTAGACTTTAAAATTAAGTAGTGTCAATAAAAACCCCTTTAATAGTATACATGAAAATAAATAAAGAATTTGAGAAAATATTTGTTATATACATATTTTGAATAGATAATTTTTGAAGAAAAATTACTCAACAACGTTAAAGTTACCTATTTCTGAAAATAATATTTTCGGCATCTTTATACATAAAGCTAAATTATGTTAACTCTATAAATTATTTAGATAAATAATTTTGTTTTGAAAATCACTACTCAAAGACTTTTGGAAAACCGATTTTGTCCGGAAAATCTGGCAACCCTTTTAAATTATTACTTGTACATATCATTCTTTTATTGTTTTTTTTTAATTTTAATTTAATTTATTTTCCAATTTACTCTCATTTTCAAACCTTTTAAATTTTCTAAAATATTTTAATTAATTTCTTTTATTTTTTTCAAGCTTTTCCCAAGTTTTATTTTTGTATTAACAAAGGAAAAACCTTTAATAAATTTCCTCTAAAATTCTTTCTCCAATTTTCTTTTTATTTTTTCCATCAAATTTTCCACACTCTTTACCACACAAAATGACCACCACCCCCCCCCCCCAACCACCACACATTTTTGGCTATTGAAATTCTTTTTTCTTTTTATTTTTTAGTTAGCGGAAAAGTGCCAAAAAGCATAAAATGTGTGCTATTGGCGCTGACAGATGGAAAAAATTGAAAAAAGTGAAGAGGTGTTTATGGAATAGGGAAATTCTAATTATTTTTAGAAAATTTAAAAAATGTGAAAAAATTTTCTTAAATAAATTTTTAAAATTATTTTTCAGCTAATTTCTATGATTAATAGCCAAAATTAAATTAAAATATCTGTTTTTTGATTTTCATTGCTTATCTAGAATTATCGCTAATCTATTATAGTTTTTTATTCGCTCCTCCAACAATCATTCTTCTCTTACATAATCACATCTAGAATTTGGAAGGCACGAGGCCTCATTCAAAAAGTTCCGTTATTGAGATCCTTCAATATCAGTCCGTACTTTATAAGATCAATTTTAGTTAGAGGAAAATTCTTTTCAATTTCAAAATTAAATAAAAACCCTTAAATATCTACTGCCTTTACTTTAATATTTAAATTATCCGATCTTCTCTCATTTTCCATTCTAAAATCTTTAATTAATTTAAATCCAAAGATTAAAAAAATTTCTTTAAAGCTTCTCTCCTTTTTTTAATTTTTCCTCACAAAAATTATTTTTTTCTCGTATTTTGGACAATGACCATGAAAAAATTAAAAAGAAAAATGGTTTCTTTCATTCATTCAACACTCCTTCATTACATTTTCCCGTGCTGGCTGGTTATATTAAAAATATGTAAGAGGAAAGAAAAAAGGAGTTTATTTTCAAGTCAAAAATGCTTTATTTTATTTTTTCTCATATTTCCCACAGCCTTCACCTCCTTTTAATTTTTAAAAGTCCAACTTGAAGTTGAGAATTATTTAATGAAAAATAAAAAAAAAATATTTTCCGAATTAAATAATTAATAAAGTATGGACATTTTAGTTTTTCTTTATAAAATTTTTTTTAATTTTCTTAAAAATATCTATAATTTTTTAAAATTCTCATAAATTTAGTATTTTCAATTATTTACTCGAATAAAATTTAAAAAATTAATTATTTTTTGTTTCAATTTAATTTTTATTTTCCATAAAAACTTGGCAAACAAAGTAGTGACCATTTAATGGACAATGAAGGAAAAAAGAGAAATCTAATACCCTTTGTATTTCCAAAAATTAGTTTCGGTTTTTAAATTTTCGTCAGACTTAAAGTATTTTTATTTGTTTTTAAACAAATGATGAGGAATAATTAAGAGAGTCTGAAGGCTTTAAAAACTTAATAAAAATAGTTTTAAACAACCAAAAATTCCAAAAAAATTTGAAAATTTTCTTAGCTCTATTAAATTTTTATTTTAAAATTTTATTTTCAATTTTATTTTGTAATTAAAGCTTCCCCAAAAATTTTCCCATTCTTAAGAATTAAGAATATTTTTGGGGGGTTTCTCAAATTTTATTTTGATGGAAGGGGAGGGAAGGAAGTTTGGAAAAAAGAGAAAGAGAGACTGACCACAAAATGTTTGCACAATAATTTTAGAGTTTATTTATTTACTTAAATATGTTTGAGAGAGAGAAAGTCTTATAAAAATATTTATTTAAAAGTTAATTTATTCAGCTGTCATAACAAAATGAAAATATTTTATTTAATTGATTGATTGTCTTTTAATTAATTTATTCAAATAGCTATAAAAAACAATTTTTATTTATTAATTAATTCTCGTTGTAACGTGAAATTACCAAAGAAATATTTACAAAAATTTTGGCACTATCTGAAACGAGGTCGGTAATCGTTTTTTTCATTACTTTTTTCCATAACTTTTTTCCTTCCTTAATTATAAATAATGGTCAGTCTTTTCTTCCTCGTTCAATTCCACTCTTTTTACCTGTGGCATATTCAAATGAGGACAGACAAAAACACACACACGGACAGACAAAACACGAGTGTTTTCTGTTCGTGTCCGTTCGTGCTTGTCTGGTGTTTTGTCCGTCCGTGTTTGTCTTTCCGAGTCTGTCCGTGTTTTATCTGTCCGAGTCGGTCCGTGTTTTGTCTGTCCGAGTCGGTCCGTGTTTTGTCTGTCCGAGTCTGTCCGTGTTTGTCTGTCCGAGTCTGTCCGTTATGACTGTAACTTGTCAGACCATGACTTGTTAGCCTGTGTCG